ATAGTCACTCATTACTTATTTTTGCTGTTGAACAAAACATGGGGTGGAATTCACATTACCAGAAAAATTGTTAATCTTTTGCAACAGATCAGCTATATTTAGCAGTTGCAGTTCCTATTTTCAGCTAGCTCAACAGAATTAGTTAATAAAATATCTTATTACCATTTGAAGAGTATTTTACTTTTAGGCAGAGAACAGCAGCAATGTACTGTTTCGACGTTATAAATGAATGTGTATCTTTTAAGTCGCTTAATTATGAAATTATTAGTAAACGCAATCAGGACTTACCAAAAAGAGAACCAGAATATTATTGTTTTAGCACCTAGGAGGAAGCACAGAGTAAAAAACAAAAACAACCTAGAAATTAATAATATTGCTATTATCAAATTAAAAATATTAACTGAACAATTTTGGAAAATATATCAAAGTAGAAAGAAATGATTAAAGGACAACTATGGTTAGATGTTAGTCACCAATCTTTCATTTTTATTCTTCTTCTTAGTTGTAATCATATTCTCTATACAAGTTTGTACCCTGCTTTTGAAAATTAATATTTAAATGAAAAAAAATTTTTAATTAAAAAAACAGAAACTATGATGGATTTTGTAAACAGGAAAAAAAGAAGTCAGTATGTTTAAAAAACTAAATTAAATAAATGAAAAATAGCCAGCATTTTGGCATTTCTCCATTCATTAACTTGTCAGGTAACTCATAGCGTAAAAAACATGTCTCAAAAACTCTGCACTGCAGAAAATATTAAAAGCACATATAAAAGCAAAGTGAGAATAACTAGGACATCAAGTTATTGAAATTTTCTGAAGTGTATGGTGATTGCTTAGGCCGTCATGCAGCAAAATATGTAATTATCTGACTATCTGATTCACTTGACCATGGTGGCCTAGCCCTATAGGTAGTTCAGTTGCAAAAGTACATTTTGGAGCTTGAATTGCCTGAATTTTCTTACTACCTTAATTTTATGTGAATGTATGTAAGGTTTATAACTGTACACACACACACACATACACACACACACACATACACACAGGGAAATGAGTAAACACAGTGGCAACCCCAAGTTTAGCCCAAGACCACCAGGAACACCCCTGCAGTTGAATGGGAGAACACAGGCCATGGGAAGTCAGGGGCGTCTTACTAGATGGATGATGTTGGGAGGAAGCTTTGGAGGGTTGGGCTCTGGTTGGGTGACTTGGGGAGGGTCTAAGGATGCAGGGATCCACACTAGTTTGGGTGCTGTTAGAAAGTGGTGTCCCAATAAATCTCCTCTACAGGGAGCGGGGAGCTGGGGTGAGGATGAAGCTGGAATTAGTAAAGAAGTAGCAGTCACTCATTTCAGCTAACAGATGAGGTGTTCAGTATTTTGTAGGTGGCAGAGTGACCTGTTTTTGTCTGTGCTTTGCCCAAATCATGAAGTGGCCTTGCTCTGTCCTCATTTTATTGTGGTCTCAGGACAGCCTTGTCTGAGGCGGGTGTTCTGGGAGATTTGTTTAAGATACTGGGAGAGTCACCATGATCCAGCTGGGAGCCCCAGGCCAGCTTCTGAATGTCTGGGGCTGCTCTTCTTTCTTTCTCAATAGCTTCAGTCATTCTTGTTGTTCTATAACTGGCAGATTTCACAGTTTTATATGTGGGTATTTGCATACAAATTATGCAACCTTTTGCAACAAGTAGGATCCTGTTTTGGGTTGGGTTGGATAAGAGAGTGAATATAAAGGAAATATTCTCCCCAGAAAGAATGGTTCAGTACTACTGCTTGGTCTCTTTTCTAAATAGTTGGCCCTTTTGAGAGCTGATGCCTTTCTCCTCCCCATATGATTCTCCAGTACCGTGTTGCCTTCCCTGTTGTCCCTAGATGAGCATTTGGCAACAAGACAAAACACAAGGCAACAATTCTTTCTTAGGATGAAAGTGATGATAAACATGGATTTTCATTCTTATTTTGTTTTGAAAGAAGAATTCTCATAAGTGTTTAATAATCTATTAGAGAAAAAAAATCACTACCCTTAGTTCAAGCTCTCTCTGTTTTGGTCACCACTAAGCACTGGTAGAGGTCACTGAACTCTGAACTGTTTTTAAAAATTTTCCCCAGTTCCTTTTATTTTTCCACTAGAAAATGAACATTTCTTATTTCTGGCATTTAGAAGAGTTTCTATGTTTCTCTACTCAGAGGTATTAATGTTGCTGTTCCCTTCTTATTCCTTGAAGAACGACCTGCTTGTCTCTTTGCGTGTTAGTATAACTAGTATAAAAATTAATTTATGGAATATTTTATGATATACTAGATGTAATCACTTTGTTCTTGTTTATAAAACTTAGGAATGGCACAGGCTACACTCACTGTTACCATAACTGCCTATCTATCCACATACATGTTTATTCAAAAATATTTGTGGAGCATATGCTATGTGCCCATACAGCTTTGTCCTAGGCATTGGGACACTAGGGAAGGAGGGAGGGAAGGTTAAGAGCCCAATTTCTGGGTTGGAATTCCTGCTCTGCCACTTGCTCGTTGTGTGTGTTGGGTAATTAGTTGATCTCTCTAAACTTTACATTCTTCCTCTGTAAAACGTGGGGATCATACTGATACTTCCCCTTAAGACTTTTGGGAGGACTGAAAGAGTCAGAGTTACATGTTCAGCGCAGTACTTGTCACAGTTGGTATGCAGTGAAAGGCATCATTATTTTTTGAGGATAAACTGGTGAATTATTAGATGCTGTCCTTCCTCAAGGAATTGACTGAAAATCAGGCTCACTCCTTAGTGAGGTAACTGAGAAGACTGGAGGCATCTCATTCATGGGGAGGATGTTTGGAGACAGGAAGAGGAGTGCAATGAGAAGGTTTTGTCTCAGTGAGCCTGATATATGATGAAATGTTGTCTAGGTGAAGTGGAGGGTGAGAGAAAAGGCAGAGGAATGAGGCTAGTTGAGAGGAGCGTGGTTCCGACATTAGGAACACAGTGTCAAGTGCTGGATGTGACAGAGGGCAGTTCCTCATGGCCAGACTGTGGTCAAGGTGGGGAGGGAGGGAGGCGGCAGAAACTGTGGCTGGAGGGGCAAGTGAGAACCAGATCTCACGGGCCATGTGTTCCAAGCTTAGTACCTTGGATTTTACCCTGAAGACAATAGGAATCTTGAGCCAGTCTCCAACATCACCACTGGTCCCCCTTCCAAGAAGGTACTTAAATAATTTTTTTAAGTGGATAAATGAAATTGCTTAGAGATGTTTGTTGCAGCACATTTTTTAAAAAAAAGTTGTCATCCTTGGACCTAAATGTCAGAGAATGTATTATACTCTCATTCATAGGACATAGTGACAGTCATCCACGTGCACCCTGGCCCCTTTTGATTTTTCTTGCCTTCTCATTCCTTATCCATCCCCAATCCCATTCCCCTCCCTTTTAAAGACACCCATTTCTTATGTGATACATGGCCTTAAATGTGCATATATCCTTCTAGAAGATATAATGTTGTTTTATGTGTGTTTTTAATTTACCTACATGGTTTTCTGCCATAAATCTCTTCCTACTTCTTTGTTTCCCTCTTGATATAAAGCATCCATGCTGCAACATGTGCATCTAGTTCATTGCTTCAAACTGCTGCATAGTCCATATATAGTATACATTGTAGCATTTTTTAGAATAACATTTTGAAATAATCTAAATATTGTACACTAAGGATTGGTCAAGTAACCTTGGTACATTAGCAATGTGAAATAGCATGTCTCCAATGACAGCTCTGGATGCCATGGGAAATGTGTTCATGGCAATGTTAAGGTACAAAAGCAGACAAAATTGTCTTTGCATTGTGAAAACAACCACATAAAAACACACGTTCAAACAGCCAACGGCTGGAAAGGATCAGAAAACGATGAAAACAGCTCTAGAGCAATACCAATCTGCTGCCTGCCCCAGAGTTAGCATCTGGGTCCCCCTCCTCAACCAGAAAGGCTTCCTCTCTGCCAGGTGTGTCCTGCAGTCAACTTGAGCTGCATTTGTCTCCCCTCATGGGAAACAGGACTGAAATTAAAAAATCTTTTCAGCAGGCTGAGATAGATCTAGTGCTGCAGAATTTAACTCCCTTCAAGATTAAGCAAAAAAAGTTAAGTGCATTAAGAGTTATGTATATTCTCTTCCATTTGTGCAAAAAAAAAAAAAAAAAGACACATAAACTTGTTTTTGAATGGAAAAATTCTGAAGAACAGACAAGAAACTGTTAACAGTGATTGCCCCTGGGGAGGGGGACTGGGGATCTGGGGTAGCAGGGAGTCCATACTATTCTTAAGTATGAGACAAATATTTATTATCTTCTTTTCTAAAACCATGTACTATTAAAATTTTATTTTTAAAAGTTTAAATCCCGAAATTTCATGACTCTTAACTTTTTGAACATCAATTTTAAAAGTCTTAATTTTTAACTCATTACAAATCAATGTCTTCCAAAACAACAAATGCACGTTTTGAGCCTCAAACTGTGCCCCTCTTTTTAGTAATGAGGAGTAACCCCAATTTGAGGACCGCTTTACATGCATTTTGTTATGAATCACAAAGCACACCAGATTCTGACATTAATTCCAACGCAGAATGCAAATGATATAAAGAAACGTAGACAAGGAACGGTGGCATTAGGATTCCGATGTGATAGCTGTTGTCCTTAACGTGGATTTGCTCCAGGCTTTTCCTCCCGCTAGGTGTGCGCAAGTCCGCCAGCCCTCAGAGGTGGCAGGCGTCATCCCTCCGGGGGCCCCACTCCGCAGAGACCCGGCCTCGGCCCGCTCTCCGCAGGGTGGGGAGTCCCTGGACGGAGGGCCGCTGGGCGCGGTGACCGGGCGCCCCGAGACTGAGGCCACCCCGCCCGCCGCCGCCGCCAACCTGTGTCGCCGCCCCCCGCGCCGCGTCACTGGGCGCCGCGGGTGAGCACCTACCATTGGCCGAGCCGCGGAGGGGAGAGGCCGTGACCCTGCCCCGTCGGCGGGCGACGCGCCAGTGGGCCGGCGGCCTGGGCCTGGCGCTCAGTTTAAAAGCTTAACAGGGGCCTCTGGCGGGCTCCGGAAACGAAACGAAATTCGCCCCGCTGGCCGCCCTCCGGGCCCCGCCAGTCCCTCCGCGCGCCGCGCTCCCCGGAATCGACCCTTCTCCCGCCATTTGCCACCGGGCTCTCGCTGAGCCCGCCCTCCCAGGGCTCAGAGGCCTGCGGCCGCGGGAACCGAACGGGCGTCATGGCGGCAGGCGTGGACTGCGGAGAAGGGGCTAGCGCCCGGCAGCACGTGTTCCTAGTCCCAGGTAAACACGCCCGTGCCGGGACGGCGGCGCGCCCGGCCGCGACCGGGCCTCCGGCCCCGGGCGGCCCGGCCCGAGAGCGCGCCAAGCAGCGGCTGGGGCGGCTCCCGGGCGGGTTCTCGGCGGCGGCAGGGCGCGCCCCCTCTGGCCCGCGGCCCCCGCGCGCGCACCCCAGAGTGTTCACGGGTCAGCGCAGAGCCGAGGCGCAGCCGGAACAGGCCCTGCACGCCCCTCGGCCGCGCGGGCGGGACCCGAGTGCCTCGCGGAACACGTGGTTCCTCATCTTGGTTACGAGTGCCAGCAGCTCCGCTTTTCAAAACCTCAGCAGGAAGCGCAGAAACCGACCAAGCGGATTTTCCCCCTTCTGATTCTTTGTGGATCCATCGGGTGGGCTGGAGGGAGCGGCCCAGGCGGGGGGAGAGCAGTGCGGGTTCAGGGCCTCGAGGCCTGGAGGTGTCTGCTCTTGGGGTGTAATTATGAATCCCCCACTCGACATCTGGCTTGGCGGCTGAGTCCTACTGGATCGGAACCTAGGATCCAGTAGGTCCACATTGGCCTGGAGGCTGCGCTGTCTTAACAGGATCCCAGCCCTGGGACAGGCCTTGGTTTGTGAGGCAGGAGGGGAGCTGGATGGTGGCAGGGGTTAGGACAGGGGTGGTTCAAAGAGATTCAGGCAAGTAGCTAATGACAGGAATGATGGAGCCAGTATTTTCAGCCTCCCCCGGGATGATGACCACATCCACGGTCTGCTGGGGCTTCGGATGATGGACATCAGTTGCCACCTATGATGGCATGAAGTGGCAGAGTAAATGGAGTTTGGGACCAGGGAGTGCAAGACAGAAAGGTTTGGCCTTTTCATAGGGTGAAGCATTGATTTGACGGCATAACATTGGCTATAAGGAAAACCCATTGTTTTCTTTATGTAACTTTGATATTTAGCTTAGCAAATACAGTATTTTTGCAGTAAATGATACTCTGATAACTATATAGTCGCCCAGTAATCTAGATTTTTATGATGGATATTGAAAATAGTTACATGACCACCTGTCAAGGCAATGTTGTGCATGTTTAACTTTTTCTCCCTTTATAAAGAAGTGTAACATACATAACGTGTACCAGTTTAAATGTGCAACTCAATGACCTTTTCATATGTATACACCCCTGTAACCATTCCACAGGTCAAGACCTAGAACTTTTCCAGTGAGCTCCTCTTGTCTGTTGGTAGATAGCCTCAGTAACCTCTATGCTGACCTCTGTCACCAGAAATTTGTTCTGCCTGTTTGGATAAGTGTGTGTTAACTTTGTACCTGGCATCGTTTGCTCAGCTGAGGTCCACCCATGTTCTGTGTAGCAGTAGTCTGGTTTGTTGGTTGGTTTGTGTTTTCTTTGCTGGGTATATTTTATTGTATGCATATTCATAATATTTATCTCCACTACTGTGGGTGGATGTTCGGATTATTTCCCGTTTGTAACTATTACGAGTTACACTTCTAAGAACACTCTTTTATGAGGCTTTTGGTAGATGGAAGTGCTCATTTCTCTGCAGTATAGACCCAGGAGTGGAATTGCCGGTCCTGGATATTGTATGTTCAGCTTTGGTAGACTCTGCTCAACAGTTTTCCAAAGTGCTTGTACTGATATATACTCCCAGCTGTTTGTGAGAGTTCCCGTTGCTCCATATCCTCACTAGAGATGTTTGTAGTTTGTATAGGAAAAGTTAATGCAAAATTCAGGGTTTTCACAGAATCTAGTAAAGGGCTACCTGATACATGCTTTACAGTAGAAAACATCTCTTCTCACTGTTGTCACATTAATTCAATGAGATTTTAACGGTGGGAACTCATTCAGAATCAAGTGCATTATTTTTATTCAGATACACACAATGGCTGAGAATAATTTGAATTTCTTATCTTGTTCTATTTAATCAGTATTGAAATTTTCATTCTTAAAGTATGTCTGTATCCTCACCGTATTAAACACAAAAACCTTTAAGGTCATTTAATATTGATTGCATCTCTGATAACTGTCGGTTTAATATGTCTACTGTCAGGCGGCGAGAAGAATTTCAGTCTAGTTCCTGTTCAAAGCTGAGTTGAATTGTGACCTTCCAACTCATTGGAGGAGGCTGAGCCAGCTGTTAAGGAACTGTTAAAGAAGAACAGTGTGGTCAGGCAGGCTGGTTCTGTAGGACTTAGAACTTGAGCTTCTAGTGCCTGTAATTCTTCTAGCTGGACTTTACTGCCATCTGCAGGCCCTGGGTGTAGAAACGCTGGTGGTCTGATAGTTAACTGCTGTGCAACTATGCTTCTCAATCTTGAGGGCATCAGTCATCTGGGGAGCTGGGCCCCATCCCCAGAGTCTCTGATTCAGTAGGTCTGGGGTGGGGGCCCTGAGAATGTGCATTTCTAACAAGTCCCCCCCGCCCAGTGCTGCTGGTGCTGCTGGTCAGAGGACACCACTAGGAACCACTGAAGTAGGACCAGCCCTAGGGAGCTGGATTGGGAGATAGGAACAGCCAGCCTCAGATTTAGCTGTCTTTCTGGCGGGTCAGAATTTCCATGGTCAGGGGAGTGCATGTAAGTACAGGGTATGAGGCCCATCTTCACAGATGTATTTGTTGTTTTTTCCAGCCTATGGGAAGTCATCCCCAGTAAGTTATGCATTTAAGAGATGGAGACTATACCCTGCCATAGGGCTGTATTATATAGTAACAGAGGTGTCTCTGCCACTCGTTTTCAGTTTGTCTGGAAAAGTCAAATATCTCAGAAAAACAAAAGCTGAAACTTGGAAGGGATACTTGGAGGTGGTCGGACGTAGCCTTGATTTTCATAGGCCAGTGGAGATAGAACTGCCTTCCGTTTCAGCAGGGTAAGCATTCCTTGAACTTTGGGATGATCTCAAACGTTTCTCCCACATGCCCTGGAATACTAGCCTATTTGCAGCTTTGGTTACTGTAAGAGACCGTGAACATCTCAACTTTTTGGAATAAGGTAGAAGTTTCCATCTCTCTTTGCTGCCCTAAAAGTAAATGTTTAAGTTATATTTTTAATATTTTTCTCTAGTCCAAGTTTTGTACGCTTGTCAGTCCTAATAAGTTGGAGTGGATGCCAGCGTGAGAGGCCAGCGGGAACAGATTCACTGAGTGTAGGAGAGAAGACTGTGTTATATGCTTCTGTGGCTGAACTCTGTTACTTAGCCATCTCCAAGGAAATGTTAAAGCATTGGGAAACCCTGATGTTACTTGAGGAAAAAGGGAAAGACAGAAATGATCTCAGCATCCACCTAGGCTGAAATCATCCCCCAGTCAGCCCCCTGATTAAAGAGCCTCGAGGTCAAACTGGAATTCAGATCACATCTTCAACTGTAGACAAGTTTTGCAATAAACTTATTCCCCTTTATTTTATGAAAATACACATTTAAAAGTATTTTAGGAAGAGTATTTCTCTTTGTTATTTTTTTCCCCCAAGATAGCATAAGTAATGCCAGTTTCTGGGGGGTAGAGGAAGGGGTACCCTTTGGGAGATAATCCCAGGCCTGCCTGCCTACCTTAGACATTCCAAATACAGTAATGACCCTTTTATGTGAGGTGCCATGATAATCCCCATAAAATGTCATATTTGTCTCTCCAAAAGGAACACAAAAATAGATTTGTATAACTGCAAGCTTTAGAACTATATTCTAATTAAAGGATTAAAAAAGAAATCAAATTTAAAAGGAAAAACGAATTTCCTATTTAATAATGGAGAAAATTTATGTTATTTCTGATTAGAGACTTGTAGCTTTTTAATAAGCCCGCAAGAAACACCTCTTGTTTGAAAAGTAGTTTAAAGTATGTGGCAAAGGAAGAATTACTATAGACCCAAATGACTTTTCAATGACCCTAAAAAAAAAATAAAACTTTTCCTCTTTTACCTGAGGGCATGTGGTTAGTCTCAGAAGAAGCAGCAAGTATTTTGTTCTTTGTCAACACTGTTTGCTTGTATGTATGTTTGTGTTTAGAAATATACCTCGTGGGCTGAAAGCTTCCCTACTTTCAGAAGAGCTTTTTCACCAGGGAGGAACCTGCATTAACTTGGCCAGAGATAGGGAACCTGGAGGATTCAAGTGCTGACTTTAGACAACTTCTGAATCATTCAGCTCAGCTTCTTGGAAGATTTGTCATTTACTGAATAGTCTCCTGCAGGCTGTCAGCCGTTAGGGAGTCTCTGAGTTTTCCAGCACAGAGTGTATTTAACATTTTCCACACAAATCCTGAATCTGGCTTTGTCTTTATGAAACGTTTTTGGAGGGAACCCGACTGACCCTTCTCAGATGGCCACTCACTGGATCTGCTCCCCTTGCTATCTGAGCACATTCTGAAGTGGATGGACTTAATCAGTTGCCAATTGGTATAACTGGGCTGTTTCCAGAGCCTGATCTTGTCATGCTAGTAATTGTTCCAAAAGGCCCCTGGACGTTTATAAGTCAGAACTCATGACTCCCACATATTTATCCTCCAGGGCAGAAAAAAATTCATAAAAGGAAAGTAAGAAATGTTCATGATTTTTTTTCCACTTCAATTGCGGAATAGGGACTGAATGGGTTTTCCCCGTATCCTCTGAGCTTTAACCATGATGTTAAGAAACAAATAAACAACAATGTTCTTGAAAGCCTGGCTGTAATAAAACACACCTATAACTAGATTTATGCTATTTATGAGCTCTGTGTCCTTGGACAAATTGCATGCTCATTGTAAAGCCTCGATTTCCTCATCTCTGCAGTGGGGAGAACAGTACCGGTCTCACGGGGTTGTTGTCTGTTGGTTTGAATTACACATACGCTCTCTCTTGCACCCCAAGCTTTTAGCCTCCCTGGCCTGGGACAGAGCAGGCATTCAGTAAACATTTGCTAAAAGAATAAATGGCTCACGTTCTGTTTCTCCCTGCAGCCTTTGTCTTTGCTCACGCTGCCCTTTTTCTTCCCTTTCCATTTCCATCAACTTTAGTTTCCATGAAGCTAAGACA